TATAATATTATTATTTTCCTATACCTAAATATAAGAATTGTAGGTATATACTATGTAGTATAATGGTGTATCCCTGGTGAGGTTATTGATCAGAATTCCCCCCCCCCCCCCCCTTATAGACCTATGATAGCGAATTAATTTTTATATGAAATAAAATTTTTCTTAAACATTTTTGTTTAGAAAATTTTAAATTGGAAATTATACTCATTTTGTATAAATGTATTATAGACAAACCACACGCCCACACACACACGCATGCATTATGCATAATATATAATCATATTACTTAGATAATTTTCACCTCAAACGTATTCAGATTCTCGCGACCTCATTAGTCACACTATGATGATTTTAAATCGATTCGCCGAATCAGTCATTAGGTTCTGGTAGTACCGTTTATATTCTAAGTTTATACTTTATTTTACTTAACAAGCACGATATTGTGTAAAGTTAGGAGACACTATTTTACTGTATTTTTATAATTTTTTATCAATAATAATTGGTTGTTTATCAAAACATAAAGCATTATCGGAGAGCTTTAATTTTTGTTTCCAATGACAGAAAAAGATATTCCGGATATTTCTTGATTTATTTATAAAAATAATTATCCTATGCACAAAGTAAAGAGCGGTTCTCTGATAGTAAATAAATTTAAAGTTTTTTTGAACCCTTTTCCTCATAAAAAGTTCCTAGAACGCGCTTGGTACAATATATTATATATATAATTATATATTATGGTTTATGATGATGAATATTGATTTATGACTATCGTAACATGGTTAGGTATATCTATATGGTTTTTACTTACTTTTGTTTGTTACAGTTTTACTCGGGTGACATTATGCAGTAAACAACAATATATTATTTTTATTTTAAATTTAATGATTCTATTATACAACTTTAAATGTTGATGAAATACAATAATATTTTCTATCTAACCGAAATTTGCATTTATTTCGGTTTTTATTTTATATTCATGTTTAATACAAGTTATTTCATTTTTAATAGTTAATAGTTAATCAACTAATAATTTTTTGTTTTTTTTTTTTTTTTTGTATTAATGTATAATATGCTTACTATCCAGCTACTATCACCGACATTTAAAACCAGCTAAGAAATATAAATGCCAAATAAATAAATAGGATATAGGTAAAACAGGAAACCAGAAAATCACTTTTTTATTCGTTTATTAAGTCTAAACATGTACAATGTATATCTACCAACGTAGGTAGATACAAATAATTTTATATAGTGACATTATTACTTTTTTCACTTTCATGATAAATAGGGTTTGTCGAGATTTTTACATTTTCTTATGTATTCGCATGTAGGTATACTCGTAAAATCAATGTAAACATTTATAATATTTCATAACAGTTGACATTGCACAAAAAATATATTTTTTATCATTTTACATAAGTCATAACTCATAAGCCTTACAACATTTAAAAAATGTACAATCTACATTATACATGATGATAATTATTAATTTGAAGAACAAGAGAATAATTATCAATTATAATAACGCTAATTCGTACTGAGCATAGCTATTTTATTTAATAGACCTATATTATAAGACTTAACCTATTTTAACGAGTAATCATCCAGTTTAATATTTTATGTTTGGCTATTATGTATATAGCTTATACAAATAGGTACATAAAAGTATATTGTGTAATACCTATTTAAGAAATTAAAATAAGTACACTAAAAATAATTATAAAAATACTCATAATTTATTAAAAACAGTTCAAAGAATTTTATTTTTATCTACTTATTATCATATTACATCTTAAACCTTAATACAACTAAATTTTTTTAATAAATCGAGTGATAATTTAGAATTAGATATAAAACTTAATCTTTATTATTAACTTTCTTTTCAACTAATATATTATAACATTTTTCTGATTTCTTTACATATTTAAATATTTATGCTTATTAAAGTTACTGATTTTGTTTGATAAAATTAAAAATAATTAGAAATTTAACTAAATAATTATTTTTTTAAATGTTTAATGACCAAACATCTTGGTTATATTTTTCTGTATTTATATCTTTCCTAACTATAAAAAACTATTAAAATAACTTATATCGTATAAATATAATTAAAAAGTGAAAATATTTCTAAAATATTCATAAACACATAAAGTTAACCTTTTTATATAAATAAATCATTTATTCTGTTCGTGCTGAAGATTTAAATACATGTTTATTACTTATGTCATTAAAATATTTATATCAAGAGAGATACAATATTATTATGTTTATTTTATGTTTAAATTATTATTTTGTTGTTTTTACATCATAATTAAGATTTGGATATTAAGGTTAATTGCCTCCAAAAATGCATTTTAGGTTAGTATTCATGATATAATAAAAATTTGAATGATGTTTATTTAGAACTAAGAGAATGTCAATGCACTGCATATTTGTTTTTTTCCGACTCCGTGAAATATAACAAACTTGTAACGTTGTGAAGAATCAAACGTGTATTGTTAGTTTTAATATTAGTGTAATCTTGCCTTTCAAACTTTAAAGTTAAGAATATTATCTATATATGTATGTTGAATTTTCATGATAGGTATTTGCTATGATTGTGCTATGACACAAGCTATGAGTATGGAACATATTACAATTTCAAAATTCTATTAGGCATACAAACTTTTATTTGCCAGCACTATGACTAATTTAATAATATTTTAATCTTACTATAAAATAAAGTAATATTAGATATTAATAAGTAATAACTAATCAGATAACACATTTTTCAATAAATCTCAAGTGTATTACTTATATTTTTATTATAATCTTTTTTTTTCATATCAATGAGCCATATATTAAGACAAGCTCTGGACATTTTCTGTTAAATCTATTCTCTGTATAAATGTATTTAGTACAACTTATCCTGTTGTAAATATAATACTTTAGTTATGTAAAAGTCATAGTCTTATGCAATAGATAAACGTTGAGTTTCATTTAAGTTAGCTACTGATATGTGCTATCACTTATATATGTATATAAAAAAAAAAAATTTAATTATTCAGTCTATCTAATATCATCTTAATGTACCTAAGCAATAAGTGTAATACCTATATCGAGTAAATAAAATTTGATTTGTTTAATTGTGAAAACCCATATGTGTACACAGTAATATCATATTATACATTGTTTAATGCACTCGATTCACAATGCATTAAACGTAACCATGTTATTTATATAGAAACTACCACTGTAAACCTTGCCTTTTTAAGTAGATACTTGCAGTCATAAAATAATTTAAATTGGCTGTACCCAATCATTTAATATATCCGTAAAATTATTTATTTGAATGTAAAATTGAGGTCACTTTTTATGTTCCATTCGTTATTTATTTGCAATTATAATATTTATAAAATACACCAAAGCTTACTAGAAGATATTTTCACAGAGAAATGACAGGACCTCCAAGAATGATATGTTGTAATAAGAATACCGCGAAAGTCGACGAATACATTTTTTCGTTTTAATTATTTTTACTTTGGTTTTTAATTTTTTACCGATCATATTTTTGTATAGTAAAATATTAAATAAAAAATAGTTATTATTTAACTTAGTAAATGTTGTTTGTATGATAATTTCCTAATATTTCGAAAGTTTATAATGTATATCACATTTGCATATGATAGACTAAAAAATATAAATGCATGATCGGCGTGCGTCACGGAATAATTATTTTAATATTCATAGTAACTATAAGAGAGGAAAAACAGTGTTCTTAATTGAATCAATTGCTATAAAATATAATATAATTATTGATGTTGTTTTATATTTACAAAGATGGTAGTAAAACGGGAAAATTCTACATTGTGTAAAATAATTTTGTAACATATTTTGTCGCGTAGGTAAGTAATAGCAGTAAATGCTTGTATTAAGAAATAAGTGTCTTGTTATAAAATTACTCGCTGAATATTGTAATTTTATACATTATAATACAACATTAGTTTATTAATTTAACAATTTTTTTTTTTTTTAATTCGGAATAATACTCAAGAATTTTTACTGCCATCAAATTATATCAAATTATTGTCTTTTATGTTCATTAGGTATTGCATTGTACATACAAGCCCTTACTTGTGTCAGGGTAAGGTTGGAATAGGTATATATTTTCATTTTTGAAAATAAAATCTCGATATGTCATACATATAAAAATATATACCAAAAACTACTCATTTTTACCATCTATTTAACCCTTTTATGACTCAGTAAAACATTATTGCAAAAGTAATCAATTTGTTAATAGGCGTGTCCTGATTAAAAAGAAAAAAATCTATTCAAAACTTAAATTATTATAAAATTTATTTGTATATTTTTATTTGGTTTTAAATTTTAATAGATTTTTTAAATTATCTTTTCTTTTTTATTGCTTGGTTCGTTCTCCGTATTAAGCTCACAAGAATTATTTATGTGCCAACCATGGAACAATTTTATCACATTACGTTATTGAAGGCTCCTTATACATTATATAACACATAAACTACAATTCTTTTAAGATAAAAAATGTATAAATATATTTAATATTTTTAAAGTTTTAATTTGCGTCCATAACTCATGTCAGGATAATTTTTTATATCCATATGAAATTACCAATTTTTGGTTAAGTACGAATTCAATTTCACATAATCATATAATATGACCATAAAAAATATAATATTTGTACCTGTATAATCTATATAATTTATACATATATATTCTACATGTTTTAATCATGACACGATTTTTTTTTGTTCAAGGAATAACGTAATAATATAAAATAGTGATGTTTTTTTTCCCGACGTTATTTAAATCTTCAAATCCATTATTTATTATTATAAACCAAATATCTAACAAAAGACTGTTTTTATATTTAAACTTACCCAAACTGAAATATGATATCTGCAGTAGTTATTATTTTACTTTTAGTACTGTGTAACTGTTAAAAATTCATTTAAATATTATCATAATTTTTTTTTTTATTTCAGTGCTAAAGAATCAATGTCGTCGACACCAGAACTTAAAAATAGACTCCCAGAATCTGATATGAACTTCCAACCCATCCAAGACGAATTATACAAGTAATTAATAATGTTTTAATAGTACTTAGTTGTAAGATATTTGCATATAAGTAATACCTAAAAATAGGTATTATACATTTTTAACGGGACGCCTCATATGAAAGTAATCTAATAAAAAAATAATAATAACGCGTATTATTCGAATGAAAAACTTGAAGCTAAAAATTTTCAATATTTAATTTTAATGTTAACTATATTTTATTGTTTTCTAGAAAGAAAATTATTAAAAATGTAATGTCATAAATTAAATTAAATGGAAGGAATTCAATTATTTTTTATTTGCATATTTATTTTTATTTTATTAATATATTAATATTTTGTTCATCTCAAGTCCGTTTGTCAAAATTATTATACAAATTAAAACTAATAATTTATGTAGGAAGACTCATTCAACATGAAAGATTTGGGATAGGTTTTAATTAAAAAAAAAAAACGTTTCCGAACATTTTACCGACATTTTGTAACTATTTTTATAAATATAATTTAGTCTGCGTAAGTGATTGTAACATAATTTGATACGATTGTCGCGCACAGAATGTCCGACTGTACGTAATAACCGCCAGCACAGCAATAATAATAAGAACAAACAATGTGTACTATTAGAAAACAAGCAATTTCGCAATTTCGCGATTCAAATTAAAATATAATCGGATATCATATTATACAGGGATAATCCCAGCAAAGAAATGAAAGGCGCGTTGAAAGTACTCAACGATTCTCTGAAGAAAACGTCTGCTACGTTATTGCCCAGGAACCAATTGAAACAAGCCATCGACATAGTCCGGGAAGAATGGTTCAAGGTTTGAGCTATTCGATTATACTAATGTTCATAGAAAAAAAAAAAAAAATAATAAAATTTCTTACAGGTGACGAGCTCGAGCGATTGTAGTGGTCAACTCGTAAAGAATTATGTCAACTGGTTCACTTCATACTCGCCAGTTTTACTAGAATTCATAATCAATATGACAGATGCTGCGGTAAACATATTATTATAAAATTATTTAGATATCTGCTTATATATTAAATACTCGCATCAAAGAAATCGATTGAAATCCGATTGATTTAGCAGATATGTTTAACTGCTAAATAAAGCTGCTGGCGATCGAAAATAAACCTGTGATAGGAGTGTAAATTTAAAACAGAGACGTGGATTTAATGATCTTTTTTCTATCTATCTATCGATAAATTTTGTTTCGAAATCACATTATCAGTGATATAAATATCTGATTTAATCACGTTGCGACTCTCGCGTGACTGTTCTGAATAAAACAAAAATTTATTTTGCATATCTGTGACTAAGTACATAATATAACTGGTTTTTAATGGATAAAATTGTTCTACTGTTTTTAAGTTTTAGAATTTATTACGTATAAATATATTATGTATTTAGATTTTAGATTTTAGATTATAGGCATTAGTCAACTATATTTTTGTTATGTGAATTGCTCCTTTAACATTATTTTCTGTGAGATATTTGAAATAAATAAATCTATTTTTTATGATAACTAATATTTTTTTTCTGCAGATATATAAATTTATATTATCTGAAGAAATAAATTTGCACTAATGTTAGATTCAATTCTATCTACCTAAAACGTTTAATAGATTATTTATAAATATTTATAAATAACCAATTACGTTTTATACCATTCAATAAATGTTCAATCAATATCTCAAAAATAATTGTTTTGATTGGGCCATTAAAATATTCTATAACCTTATTATTACAACCGATCGCAATGTTTTAATACTAAAAATGTTATTTTTTTAATTTTTAATAATATTTTTTTTCCACTAAAAATCTATATTGAAGGTCATGGTATTTTTTTTAAAACTATTTTAAATGTATTTATTTTGTAGGACTTAAAACGTACAGTCCTAATTATTATATGTGTTAATTGTTACATAATGTGTTTATGCATTTTGTGTGTATTTTCTCAAAATACCTATAAAATTTATTTTTGCACCTTTTTACATTATATATGACGTATTAATACGTACAGACATTTAACTATGTAAATTATTTCATAATACAAGTTAAGTATACAGTTTGTATAAAAAGATTTTAAAAATAAGATATTTTTATAGATTTACCTAAATGTCCAAAGCACGCAGAAATCATGTTATAACGGATTTCTACTTTTTTTTTCACAAAGGAAATATAGATTTTTGAATTTTTCGCTTATTGTTACAGTAATACGGTGTATAAAAATAAACTGTAATGTCCGGCAGCAATATGTAAATGTAACAGATGTAGAGATAATTATTTCCAGTTCAATAAAGTGTGTAAAATGTTTACATGTATCTAATAAACATAGATATTATTTCTACTTTATATACGAACAATAAAGACACAAACATATGTATATAACTGTTATCGCAGTCGATCACGAGTCACGACGCGGTGACGTGAACTGCTTTACCAATTAATTTTTTTCGCGTTTGGGAAAATGTACGTAGAAAAAAATGTTGTTTGCATATTTTAACATAATATTTTGATTATTTATATATGTATATAACCACAAACCACTAAGCGTTTCGTTATTTCCAGCGTTCTGAATTCATATAGACAAATAATAATAAATTACCATACGTTACATACAATATTTATGTTATGTTACGTCTTAATACTATCCGTAACGTTTATTGGTCTGTTTTTGTTTTATCAGGGCAACACCGTATTGCATTATTCGATTTCCCACGGAAATTTTGACGTCGTTTCCACCATACTGGATACGGGCGTTTGCAATGTCAACTTGACTAATGACGCGGGATATTCAAGTGTCATGCTCGTCTCGTTGGCTGACATAAAAAATGACGACGAAATGAAAATCATCACGAGATTGTTCAAATGTGGCGATGTAAACTTGCAAGCTAAAAAAGTTAGTATTTCAAAACACATGTACAAGATACTCTTATACCTATGCAAATTAAAACTGGTGGACGATCTAATATTATAGTTGTATTTTAGTAGTAATTATATCGTATTTTAATATAAAATAGTATGTATACTGCCATATTGGTCTCTAACCTGACAACAAGATATGTATTATATAAAATAAAAATATTTCCAATAACTGACATAATTAATTGGATTATTTAGATTACGTTAAAACCAATCACTTTTTCCTTGACCCATTTGAAGTCTTAATAAATAATGAGACATAATTGCGTACTGTGTTTCTATACATTGTATGATTCATTCAGTTGGGTTAAGTTTGATGATGAATAGTGATGGGAATAGAATAAAATGTCATAGGGATTATTTTCTTGAAAAACCATAAATAATTAAATTTATTTAAACTTTAAATGTAACCAGTTATAAATGTTTAAAATAGGTATTTTTTATCTTGTAATAAAAATATTTTGTGCACAATTTTAGTGTAACTTGTAACCAGTTATACAACTATTCGAGTAACTATCTCTGTCCAGTTATAAATCTCATAAATCGAGGTTCTCAAAAATGACATTCTGTAACTCATAATTAAAAGGATAATACACTAGTATTTGTTGTCTTTATCTTCAAACACGTTACAAAGCAAATTTAAATTAAACAGTTCGAGTCTAGTTTCGTTCATTTTCAAAATATTAACAAACTCAACAAAAAAAAATTAGAAAACCAAGGTTTTTTTTATATTATCTGTGTTCTGTTGAAAATATTTACATATTTATATTTTTATTTTAAAACTAGTTATAAGTATGTAAAATGTTAAAAATCAATAAGACTCATAAATAGTCATAATTATTCATGACTTTTGAGTTTGATAATAATAGAATAAAACACTCTATAAATGATTACGAAACTAACGAAATTAAACGTGATTTTATGTCATATTATGCATTTGTAAAAAAAGAGGCAACAGGTGCGGGCATATGGTCCTCTAAGGCTTATTATATCTAACGTGATTATTTAAGTAGGTAATTCAAATTTTATGAAATAACTATTTACTATACTTGAAAAATATGTATATTACATATATGGTGCATTGAAGCTAACATATTAAAATTCATTTTTTAACTACCATTATCGCACAATATCGTTATTTTTGTTGCGCTATTAACCAATTTTTTTTTTTCATTTACAGCATGGTCAGACGACATTAATGTTGGCAGTTTCACACGGAAAATCAGAAGTGGTAAAATTGCTTCTGGAATGCGGAGCTAACCTCAACGTACAGGATGAAGATGGAAGTACTGCCTTAATGTGTGCGGCCGAACACGGTCTTCAGGAAATCGTCAATATATTATTAGCCTGTCCAGAATGTGATGTGTCCATCGCAGATAACGTAAGTATTGATCAGATCATGAAATACGTAGTTTTTCTTTTAAAAATAATAATTGTAGAACAACAATTCTACAGTGAACAGAACGAAGTTATAGGATTGGCTATTTTATATGTATATTTTTGATTTATTTATATCTGACAGGATGGAAGTACGGCACTCAGTATTGCAATGGAGGCAGGACACAAGGAAATCGGGATAGCTCTGTATGCTAAACAGCACATATTATCCCGAGATAATTCGCCGTTCCATTTATTGAAATCGAAGAGGTCTAGAAGCGCGAACACTGTGATGCCGTCAAGTAATAATATGTCTTATTCGCATTTGTCATTAAAAAAGTCACCAAGTCTGCAACCCAAGGAATACGCCACGCTGTCTTCCATGCTGAAAACGCGGACTCCTTAACACGCCATCAGTAAAATAATAATATGTTTTTTTATCATAGACCAATGTACCTACGCTTGAAGTTGTTTTTATTTTTATAATATTATTGTATTGCGCCGCACGTGTTTTGCTGTTCTGGCAGTTTAATATTAACTATGTTTTTTTTATTTTATATAATAACCACGTAAAAAATATCAAAATATCTAACTGTGATTAAAAACGGTCACTGATTAGCAACTAAACTATTATTTTTTTATTGTTATGTAATAATAATATGTATAAGTATAGTGTTATGTAAACGTTGTTTTGGGAATCTCTTACATATACGCTTACCCATAATACAACAATTTCAAAAACAATAAAACTATACATATTGTTATCAAATACAGTAGAACGCCATTTATCCGAATTAATTATGATGGTCCGGATATATAAATATTCAGATAATTTAAATATGGTGCATTAAAACTTATACATTTTATTTATTACCTATACTTTAATTTGACATTTGTCACAATAAACAAATTATTAATGTCATTAAAATGAAATAAGAAAAACTGAATTGGTATGTACATTATTTATTACTAAGTTTGAAAAATGACGATATTCTTGTCAGCTTCATTGTTGACTTTCACTTTAGAGCAGTTAATTCCCTCAATCTTCTTGATTGTGGCAATTGAGTGGTGTTTGATTTGTCTTGCCTCTCAAACCATTTAAACGCCAAACCTAACGCATTAAAAGCTTCAAAATAAGACAGCCCATATAACAATTTGACGTCTAGTTGTGACGATAGATATACATAGGTAGCGATTATTGTAAAATACTAAATGATATCTGTATTTACAATTAGTATACAACTGCAGATGTCCAGTATGTATCCATACCATCGTTTATTGATTTTTTTATCTAATAAAAATTTTAAATAGTGTATTTGGTTAAAAATGGATATTATTGTTTGTAAAATTAAAAAGAAAAAAAATTAGATTATTTTGAAGGAAAAAGCATAAAGGGCATGTATTTGATGGACTCAAATAATTTTCATAAACGTAGATGTGACAAAATTTGATTGATTTTATAATCTTGAAAATACTACGATCTACCCAAGTATTTTTACAGAAATTAAAAATATTGAAAGTACAAATAACAAATTTTTTTAAATTTAAAGTATGAAATTCAAATTTTTTTTATAATCTACCAAAATCGCCAACTAATTTGTTATTAAAAATGCATTTCAATTTCAATTTTTACATCTTAATTTTGAAAATTGAATACAATTTTAACATCATAATATTATTATATATTTAATAGTTTATACATCATTATACATAAATTATATACACTATAGTATTAGGTAAGTAGGTAATCTGTTAAAATAACTAAATATAATATGGTTAAATTGTGAATATACTGTTTAAATTTTAAATCGTTTAAATTGTTTTGCTTATTTTATTATCATTTAAAACAAAATGAAAAATTACTATATTTAATTATAAAAATAATTTTTATTTGTTAAATTTAAAGTTTTTTTTTTTTTTTAACTGGTTAGATTTTTAATTATATAATACTTAGGTAATGCATATAATATAACAATTGAAAATACTAGTTTTTCCACGAAACTCTATCACTAGGTTATTGTGATATTGATTTGAATTTAATATATTACTTATTGTTGTGAGCTCAATATAATGTAATTAACAATTTTGTATGTTTTTTATCATTATTATTCTTGTAATTTATTTTAGTCATTGTCGTCACACCTCTTTTTCCGCAGTCAAATTCGGTGTCCAGAGATGGCCAAAAGTCCGCCAGCAACTTGCAAGTTGTGCGAGAGGTCACACACGGTTCGTATAGATATTTATCGTTTTATTCCACCCGTAGTGCTTGCTGTTCACATCGCCAAACTTCAATAGTTTAAATTTTTTAAACTTTAGTCTTAAGAATTCGTTCCGATTTTATGTGCGTTCTGTAATCATTGCATCAAATCGAACAGGTTACTAAGACTCCCTTTCCTTACCTCATAACTAAACTACACCATAATTAATCCCGTTGGACACTGTGGCATCAATTCCCGTCCTTCCAAATGTCATCGTTGTCGTGCGCATAACGATCCCCATATTACATTTAAGGCACAGTACATTGAGTTGCCTATGTACAATAAGTCAGGCGCCAATAATAAATTGCTCTCTGACATATTTTCCGAGTAGGTTCTTTGGAATTAAATCATTATAGTCAGCCTTTTTTATACACAAACAATACAGACATTTTGATGAAAATATTTAAAAACTAATTTTACAACAAAAAAAAAAAAAATGATAAAGTCTTGTAGAAAATTTGTATTTTAATAATTTTTAGTTTTATTTGAAAGAAGGAACGGTTTATAGATTATGCATCAGACTCCAATTTTTAGTTAAGCCTAACCTAACCTAACCTAGCCCGTCAATTTTTTTTTTTTTTATAAGCCAAAAGAAAGTTTTTCTGTTATATTAGGTATTTGTTGCAGCTCAACTACCTCTTTTTTCAGTAAGTTACAATAACAAACGATTTCAAAATTAAAATTTAATTCAACGGCAAGCAATTATTGCAAACAAAAACGCATCTTTTCAGTGAACAAAAATAGTGTGTCAACCTTTATTTTTAAGGATATTTTAAAAGTTATTTTTGTAACATTAATACTATATAGATTAATCTTGAACTCACTTTTCATAAAATCATCTTCGGATATACACAAAGCATAATAATATGATATAATATTGTTATTAACTTATTAATTAGCAATTTCTTCATGTACAATTTCTTTTTTTCAATTAATATAAATCGTAGTAACCTGCAAGAATATTCCACTATTATGTAAATAATCATTTTGTTTAAATAAACTATGAAATTTTTAAAATATTTACTATAATATAAATGTATATCCGTAAATGTTGTTAGAAGTTAGAGGAGGATTCAGGTATAATTTAAAAAGTAAATGATGAATTTTATATATTTTTTATGAGAATAAGAAAAAGAATAAAGAAAAATCTTATCTTAAATATATTATAGTATAATAATATCACATATATTTCAAATAACCGTAATCATAAAAATTAGTTATTTTATTGGGTTGAACTATTGGATAGTACCTATTTTTATATTATTAAGTACCCATCATAAATACGAATATTACGTACAATTATTTATATACCTTGATATACTCGTAGTAGTTGTGTGTATCGATTATTTTTACGATACATTTTTAGTCCATCATAAAGAATAATGTCCTAAAAATATATTTTGAAACATTCATTTTCATTTAAAATAATAAACATTTTTTTTTTTTTTTTTAGACATTTATAGTAGTGTATTTTGCTTATATACTTATATATTTTTTATTTTTATTACTGTTATATTTTTAATATAATAAATCAATCTATTCCGCGATTAGTTCTATACTCGGTGAATATTTCGTTAATTTTTGTATTACGAGTATTTGACAGCTCACTAGATCCATATTGGCCCACCAGGACAACCGGAGTTTTCCCGGTGGACCACATAGACTACAGCTACATACAAATTACATCCCGGTTTTTATACATAAGTAAATTAATTTCGTCTCGATTATCTGATATCAGAATGGCTGTATCCGAGTTGGGTCCGAAAATAATACTAGTTTTAAATTATGTACGAATTGAGTCCGTGTGAATAAAATGTTTTGTCTGAATTGGGTCCGGGCGTAAATTATGCGTTTGAATTGGGTCCACGGTTCACGTATTTATACAATTATATAAAATAATTATATTATATAATTATTATAAAGTACGAATATAGATTAAGGACGTATTTTCTGGCAATAAAATGATATCTTATCGTAGTAATATACAGTACGAAAATAATATTTTAGATTAGGTATTTTCTGCCGTTGAAATAATAATCGATGAACTAATCACTGATTATACCACACTAGTCAGTACGTGTTCACATTTCATACCTACATAATGGATAAAACTCAAAATATTATGTTTAGTGAAAAAGGCAAGCGTATAAACGTTATTGTTGGCTTTAAATTTTCATTTCATAAGTATCTAAAAAATGACATCGAACGATGGCGATGTATAAAAAGAACGTGCAAATCTTTTTATAAGTGTGAAAATGAAATAATTATTGAAAAAAACATCACACACAACCATGGACCTGACAAAGCAAGTATTTTAACCAGGCAGACAATGAGTAACTTTTTAAAAAAAAATCACAAGAAAATCCTTGTGATGGGCCATCTAAGTTATTGTATAATGAATTACAAAATTATATAGAAACTCTAACACATAACGATTGTACTTTAGTTTAAAAAAATATACACTATGCTAGAAGAAGTATTCAACCAAGTATTCCTAAAAGTTTAAGTGATATTCATAAAACACTAAACGATTTAAAAATAAAAACAAATCGTAAAGAAGACTTTTTATTAATTAATGACAGTGTAAATAATATAATTATTTTTTCAACAACTGAAAATTTAAACTTTTTATGTAAATCTAATACAATTTTTGTAGATGGTACATTTAAAAGTTGTTGTAAAATGTTCACACAAATGTTCACTATTCATACTACTCACAACAATCACTATATATCCTATTATATTTTATTTGCTACCTTCTAAAAGTAAAGAGTGTTATTCACAAATTTTTATACATATTCTAAATGAATGCAATAAACGAAATTTCAATTTTATTTCTGAAATTGTTTATGCTGATTTTGAAGTAGCGATTCACACAGATATATTAACAGTTTGGCCACAAATAAATATTAAAGGTTGTAGATTTCATCTAGGCCAAAACTGGTGGCGAAAGATCTAGAATAGAATCTAAGATTAAGTAGCGATTATAAAAAAAAACACAAAATTAGGTAAATACCTAAAAAAATTTTTTGGACTTCCATTCTTACCGCCAAACGAAGTTGAAAACTGTTTTACAAACGATTTATTAAGTATTCAACCAGATGACGAACGATTACAAATATTCACGGAATATTTATTGAACAATTATATACATCCTGACGCTAAGTTCCCTCCAAGATTATGATCTGAATTTAAGCCTAATACAATAAGAACTACAAACGCATGTGAATCCTTTCACTTACACTTCAATTCTATGTTTTATTCTGCTCACCCAAATATATATCAATTTATATACTTTTTAAAAATATTCAAATAGATGTTTATATTAAAATGAAAAGTCCAGAGGAAAAAAGAAATTCGTAAAAGAAA